GTGGTGCTGATTCCAATTGCCAGGATGAGCATATAAGATGGAGTGTTTGTGCACAGTTTTCTAACGTGTCTTCAATTAATTCTCGCAACTGCAAAAATGTCTGCCATCGCCAAAAAAAAGCATTAATAACGATTAATAAAGAATGGATTTAAATTACATTACAATAAAATCAATAGCTATACTGAATTAAACTTGAAATAAACCTACAATTTCCTGATGTTTAGGGCCACCTAATCCATTTACATTTGGATGATGTAAACTTTGTAATTCAGATTGCACATTTACGGTTTGCAAAACTTCTAAAAGTATCATTATTAAAACCACCAAGTTATAAAAATAGGTGAAAACTCAGGCAGTTAATTGGTTATGAGCATGAATATATTGTATGATTAAAAATTTGTTAAAATGTCCAAACGATAGGAAACAATCTGTACCTATAAGACGTCTAATAAAGGCAGTATCACTAAGCAACTGATTAAGATATTCAAAAAGCTCGCGTGATTTCGGTAACTTTTCGTCAACTTTGAATTCTGCCAGAGCCTGTAAAATGCAAATCATTCAGTACAACGATATGGATGGTAAATAATAAAACATCCACTGGGTATTACAGACAAATTTGGTATCTCAGATTGCAAGCAATAAATAATGTCTTTTTAGATTTAAACGTTAAGTACAACCAAGCAAAGCATAACATGAAAAGAATAAAATTTTGAAAGCTTACTTTGACAGCTGCACTGATAAAACGATGTGAATCATAGTAGCAAACAACAGCACAAAGTCCTCTCGTTAAGAACGGAAAATGCCGTATTTGTACCTCACCTGCAACCAACCACATCATACTTTATGTAAAACATGAAAATTCAGACAACAGAAAAAAAAAAAAAAACATCTCCGAATTTGACAGCACCATAATGCAAACGTATGTCCAATTATTCCACAATAAATTTCGAAATTTATCAAATTTCAACTTGTTTTTTCGTCTTCTATTACTACTTACTAATACATGTTGATAAGTCAGTATGACGGTTAATATAACGTATGATGGGCTGATCAGCAGTATGTGTGATCGAAATGATGCAGCAGTTTGAACGTCTAGTCTTTAAGTACCTTTCAAAAGTTCCAGTTAAGAATTATTAAGTAGATCACCATAACATTAGGGAGTTAGACAAAAACAACAAATATTACCAGTTATTACTAGTTCAAGAGCATCAAATTCATCACAATTAAACAAATCTGATATAATTATTGCTTCGTTCCGCAGTCCATCATCCACTTTCACGACTTCTCCACTGTCTAATTCCAGTACTTCACCACTCTTGTTCAGCACCGAACGATGCAGTGAATTTTTACTCTAAAAGAAAGTAGGAACAATCTTCTACGCTATGTAAACAATACTGTGGAATTTTCAACTGAAACTTAAAAAGACCAACTGGATTCCGAAGTATATTGACGAGTAATGGTTGGGCTTTGTTTAGTACAGCTATCAGTTGTTCCAGTGAAGTACTACTGCTCTGTTCATTGTAACAGCTATTTATATAATCATCGATTACCCTGAAAGTGTTCCGAGCCTTCACCCACATTCCTTATTTCTGAAAAGAATATCATTCGACAGTAAAAGAAGTAAGACACAGTTACATAATAGTGGTCATTAGCGTCACTTCTTCTTCGTCGATAAATTAAGCTGTTGGCTTTAATGCTCATTAGATGAATCAAATGGTCAACAAATTCACGGTGTTAAATCACTGCTTCGTTTCATAAGAATTGTACTTTATATTAGACTACGCAGGACCATTCAAGTGACAGATGCTTCTAACACAAGCTCTACTCCAGGCTAGTTAAGACACAGAGGCTCTCAGGCTTACGCTACTCAGGTAAATCAGTATAACTGCAAAAAAAACTTGAATAAGTATATAAGTGTTGAACACAGGTAAAATATAAAACTGCACCTAAGCATAGATCAACTCTATCCTCACTGTAGTTGGGCGGAGATATTGAAGTCACTTAGTAAAAATCCTTCACTTCCCGTTGGCAGGCTTTTCACTCTTCACTGTTTCAAATTACTACTCGAAGGACACATGAAATAAATAATGGATTTATAGCATCAATCTATAGTATATATCAACCTAATAAATTAATTTCGTTTCCATTACGAATAGATTGTATTCAATAAAACAGTTCCAAAAACAAAATAAGATAATGAAATGAACAAATTGAAAAATGAGGAAAAGGAAAAGCAATTTCCATGTTGAAAGGTTTCCACATTTGGGTAGGACCTTAAATACAGGATTCTAACCGAATTCCAGGACTGACTAAGCCAATTTATGGTTTTCAACGATCTTTCTTTAAGAAAGAACAAACAGAACGACAAATCTGAATTCATTAACAAACTAAGAGACTTAAGCTCAAATAAGAGTTAAACTCTAAGTTCGGATACAAATACACCGACCATCTTTAATAAACCCAACACCCAAAACAATTTAAGAGACATTAAACCAAAAAGATAGACGTCGAATACCTTTACTCACCGTCATTTTATGCTTCTCTGATCGAGTTCTAATGAAAACATTGTGACGCATTGTCGACATGAAAAAGTGTAGTAAATTGTGTTGCTTCAGTGCATATAATTTAGTGGAAGTGGACTTTTGGACTGTACGACATATTTGCGTTGGTAAGCCAAGTTATTTAATGTTAGCTAGAAGTGTTGATAAACTAGAAGACTTAGCAGTGCTAGCTTTTTCTCTAGCATGACGGTTCTATGAGAATAAGAAGTAATCTCAAATGTTTATAGTCTCTTCCAGACTTACAGAATTTGAAAAGATAGCATTAACAGTTATAAGAGAGAAGACATTATTAATTGTTATTAATTTATTGGTTTCGAATCAAGCAGCAAAAAAAGTACACAAGACAGAAGTAGAATAGACTTCGGATTCAGCTGAACTGCTTATCTCCGGAATTAATAACCCCTCTTTCCTTTCCTTCCCCTTGACCCGAATATAGATCATTTTCACCTCCGCTCTTACGTGCGCAATTTTATAGCATTTTTCTTCCCGAGTATTTTTGAAACATTCATCTGGCTGACAATTTATGAAATCGGTCGGAAAGCAAGTTTTAGATGCTTTATTGTCATTGTCTGTGCTAGTTTCAGGTGTTGCTGAAAAGGCAAGCTGTTCGCTTGTTAAATTGTCGGAGATGATATTTTCAAAATGAGCTAAGAAACTTTTCAACTTATCTTGTATTCTGCATTTATCCTTTACACACTTCGTTTCTTATTTTCTGAAGATGATCTATCACTCATCACCCATTCTTTCTTATTGGTATTCAATAAGAAACTTATTAGCAATTTGTTTATTTTTTCCTTTTTTCAGTATTTGTGATATTTTATAAGTTAAATGCAATTTGCTTTAGGTAAAAATTACAACTCATTCAGAAATCCCTATACTGCAAGATTCATTTATTTTCTCAAATATTTTAGGTTTTACGTACAATTTACATAAAAACATGGCAGCTAAACTATTTCTTTTTTCTTTTTTTTTCTGAAGGTGAAGAGCATTCATTAATTACCATCCAATGTATAGTATATTTGATAATGAGAGTGTTCCACAACTAATGGAAAAGCGGTTAGGCTGAAGTATGCTTTGATAGCTGGTAATAGAAATGTCTGAGATTATCTTTATTGTTTCAGTGATTATTCACACGTCATCGGAAAAAAAAAAAAATCTTTAAGTGGAAATAGTTATGACGAAAACAGCCATTTCCAGTTTGTTCAAACTTCATGTCAGGGACATATGGTCGATCTTTAAAGTTATCATCCACCAGTTCCATGTAATCTGACCAATGCCAGCAGAAAAGAGATTTTCTCTTTTCCTACACATATCGACTCTCGCAGCTAACGCATTCCAAGATCATCCCATATTGTGCCATTTGGGACACTCTCATTGCAGTATCACATTTTAACGTCAGTATTACAAGAAAGGACAAAAACTTCGGTCTTGTTATACTAAAATTTGAAAGCCACAAAACAAGTTGTTAGTCATAAACCGAATGTATTTAGAAACTGAGTGCTTTGTGAGCACTTACACCAAGTAACAAACAAAGATTAAAGTTGAACTGCAAAAGAAATGAACAGAAACCAAATCACAATTGGAAGCGCTTTACGGTCAAATCTCTCGGGCAAAATCTAAGCAAAAGGCCGAATGAATGCTTCGCTAAGATAATTCCTTCCCATTATATATATCCTATAATTTCAGAAAATTACTCCATCATTAACAAATGACAAGTATGTGCGAGAAAGTTCAATAAGACGCAGAAATGCTTACCCCATATGAATGGGGTAAGCATTTCTGTATATATATACTACAACAACTTTACAAATGTATCCATATGAAACCAATGAAAAAAAAAAAAAAAAAACAAGATACTGCATACAAAACATATGATTTGCTAAAGAAAAAAATCGACCGTTTCAAGAAGAGCGTCTAAACCCTGAGAAAAAGTGATCCAAGATAATACCACAGGTAAGAAAAAAAATGAGTTACCACTAAATCACTATCTAATTTTTGATAGATGGCCGGATAAACGCCTGATCATAAGAAATAATTTCCAAACAAATTCTTATCCATAAAACTATTCTTTCAAGGAAAAAGAAGAGAGTTTAAGAAGTGTTAAACCGGCCATCAATCACATATTTTCATCAATCATCAATATTTTTTTCATTACAAGGAAAAACAGTTTTGCTCGTCTAACGAATATAAAAATAATCATTTAAATGTAATACTACTATTCCAGTAATTCTTGTGACCACAAACAAACCAGAGGTAAAAATTAAATCGAATTCCTATTCGAAAATGATGATAATGTGAACGAAGTTTTTATATCTAAAAACTTCTAGGCAGCAATTCCTCCTATTAAAAGTCACTCAAACATTTCTACGAAAGACTTATTTCCATTTTCAACAATCATCGTTTTATAGTATTAAAAAGAAGTGATCAATTATTATTCATTTAAGGTCTCTGTGCACTTGCAAAACCACCTTCCTGTTGCAATCGTCGCATCATATCAGAATTCAATGAGCCAGGATTTACGATTCGAGATCCCAATTCATTATTGAATGGATTCATCATTGTCATTTGCAAAAGAGCATTCTGCTCTAGAAAAGGGCGTTGCGCCTGAGCCTGAGCCGCTGCTGACATGGCTAATAGCTGTTGCAACTGAAGTGCATCACCTGCAACCACATAAACCATAATCAAGAGAATTACGCAAAGCAACTTCAAGAATTGCCCTCATCCTAAAACTTCCGAGCGCAACTAATGGTGCGGAAATAAATACTAACTACAAAATGACATTCTTCACTTTTTCATAAATGAATGAAGTTAATTAAACAGCACCAGGATGGGTGGCAGCTGCATGTTGCATCATAGCAGCAGCATGTGGATGGAGATGGGACTGTGGTGCTTGAGATACAGGTATTCCACCAGGAGCCAACATTTCCATGCCAGCCATACCTATAATTAATTAATACCTATCTATTGCTGAATTTCATATTTTTAAGATCAGCATATTACCCACTAAGACTGAAGTGAATATATATTTTGAATATAGTTTCAGATTATAATATATGTATTATGTATGTTATGCATATATTATGCTATTCTACATTATGTTATGCTGGTCATGTACATTTCAATCGTATTCATTTACTTAATTCTTTTACTTCACATATATATAAGTTATTGCGTATATAAAACATCTTCAAATTCCAAGTCTTATGAACATCATAGCTGCGTTAAAAGTGGAGTAAATATCTATTCAGATGATCGCATTCTGGTAACAGGAAAATGTCTCGTGCTGACTTATGAAATAAATTTGAAAAAAGAAACTAACTAAGCATGCGCTGCTCCAAATTTCGTTGCTCCAAGGCACTCATCATTGCTGCGGTATGACTGTCGATACCTATTCCAAATTGCGAACCAAGCTGTGAATTATGCATCAATGTAGCCAAGGCTCTCGGATCCATCCCAAAATTATGGAAAGGTGGCGGAAGTATGTTGGGGGGAAATCCATGAGCACTAACAGCAGTCGCAGCAGTACCACCATGGGAAGGAGAGTCACGAACAGCTGCTACTGTGGAACCCGTCGTCACTGTACCGTTTGCACTATTTCGTATCATTTCTAATTGATGTGCTCTTAGCTGCTGTTCCATCTGCTTTTGAAAAACTTGCTGGAAAAAATTAATTTATAATACAATTCCCTCGTATGTTAATTCTCACTTTTCATAATTGGAATGTCTCAAATACCTGTTCAACTGCGATGGCATACTGCTGTTGAGGAGTAAGGAAACCGAATCGCGGATCTGGCATACCAGGAAACATTCCTGGCAAACCAGAAATTGCAGTACCATTCATGGGGACCCGACCTCCCATAAATGCCTCAACATTAGGTGTACCCGACAATGATGCAAGTTGAGCAGATGGTAATTTTGGCACTGTAACTGTAGTTGGGAACGTTTCATTAGGCTGAAAATGTTTTTCTTTTTTAAAACAAAAGGTTATACTAAAGAAAATGAAAATACGCGAACTGGTTTTATAAAAAGTTTGGAAAATCATATGGAAAATTTGTCATATGAAAATCTTCACATAAATTCAAATGAAATATGGGATGAGAATGAAAAAATATTAGAAAACAGAATCTTCAGTGACCTTTTTATGTGCATTATTTATATGGTTTTTGACGGCAGACCGTGCTTCTCGTTTCTTATCCCATTCCGAACCAGGTTTCATACGAAAAGCCAGATCTGTACGCGCACACATTTGACCACAGCGTCGATCGATAACTCGGACGAGCAATGCGTTTTTCGTCGTTTCAGCAACTGTATCATTTACAGTCCAGTAACCATCATCTGAATCTTCTTCCTCCGTTTTCATTTCCTGCAATAAATACAAAATTCATTTACAATAAGGAAATTTGAACTGTATTTCATGTCAATAGATATAACGTGCTGTCACCAATTAAAAACTGATATATAGCAAGCGTACGTAAAATACATTTAAATTTTAAAAGGAAGGTTTTTTTTTTAATATACATTTATATAAAATGACATATAACACACACATTTCCACAAGTTAAAGCACAAAACTACCGCACCAACAAACAATAACCATAAAAACAATCCTAAAAATCTGCATAAATCTTACACTGTCAAGACTGGAAATCAGAAAAAATCTAAAGTTTACATCAGGAGGAGTCCGATCGATTGGTTTCACGAAACTTGTGCTGGGCTGTTCAGTTGCAATTTCTACAGCTTCCTCAACCTCATTGTAAGCAGTTCCGGAAGCTGAAGATAGTTCACTTATTGCAGCATTGGCTGAAGGAGAAGTGGCGGAAGTTTGGATTTCAACATTCGGGCCTCCTTTTTCTACACATATGGATGTATTTATTGGTTCCTGATAGTGCTTTCCTTCCTCGTCAACACCAACTACTTTCAGTGATGCCGAAATTGACTCTGGACCTGCAGACGCTTCTCTTTCATCCCCCTACAATTTTATTAAGATTTATCACGAGTAGAGATAATAATAGATGGAAATTGGAATAAAATATACCACTGTCAATTAACTGAATTATGTCTGTTTGCATAAAAGTGAGTCATTTACATAAAACTTAATAAATCACGACAGAAACCTTTCCAATATTTAATGAATTATCACTCGTATGAACTTCTGAACTGACACCAGGTTCATTTTCGTGCACATTGGTATGTTCGTCTTCTTTCTCTCCTTTCACAAACCGCTTCTTTGCAGTTCCATTTACCTGAACTTAACAGATGAGATATGCGATTCCGAATTCTAACAGAAAATAGTAACTAAGGAGATAATTCACATATTCATTATTCTGTGCATGATTTCGCTTCCTTTTTCCATTCCTTTGTTTCGTCGTTTCGCTATCATTTGGTGAACTGATACCTTTTTTATCCACCTCCAGTGAAGTACCACGTCTTTCCTTTTTATTTGCTCGCGTCCTTACCCCTTGTTCCTGTAAACCATTTTTTTTTCCGTTAATTTTAAATGTCTCTCCTCATTTTTAAACTCCAAAAATGAGTTCGTAACATGAAAAGGCACTAGAAAAAACAGCGAATTTATTTTCTGAATATTACATAATATTTTCGTGTGAAATGAACAAGCTCACTTACCTCATCATCGTTGCCTTCAGGACTTCTAGGTTTGTACAGTGATGGCGGGACGGTACTTGGTCGATCAACGGGACGCAACTGCCCATACTTTTTATAAAAAACTCGACATTCAGTACAAAGCAACTGACGTTCTCTACCCGAATGATGCCAGTCTTTACTTTCTAAAGAAGTGAAAGTTATGAGATCGAGTTCATACTGAACAATAAAAGTACAGAGGTTATATCAATTTTGGATCTAGGTGAAAATGTAAAACAGGGGCCGGAACGTGTAAATACGTATCACAAAAAACCAATGAATACGTTACTTGACGTGTAGCAATGATGACAAGCATATGCTGCAGCACGACCATCATTTTCTAACTCCTCCATTTCGGTCTCGCTTGCTGATGCATAGTCAGCCAAATCAGTACTGCCTGGACGAGATGCCTGAAATTTCAAGAAACCTACTGCAATTATGTGTCAAATTGTTTATCAAGGTGATCTGTTAACATCTTCAATTACAGCACGGAAAACTATATGAAAAATCGCAATATTAGACTGCAAAAAATTGCAACAGAAAACACAACAGAATAATTGACTTTCAACTGATTGCCCTTTGGTTTTCGATGTGTTGCAGTTGCTGTATTTCGTTGACGTGCTAATGGCTTAGGCCTGGTTGCATCACGGGTCTTCTTCCATCCATAATAGAACTGCACCAGTTCATCCTAAAAATATTTTCCAAAACAAGAAATTAGAGAAAACATATAACATGGTTATGCATGCATACAACATAAAACATCACAAAATGATCAGAATTTACTCTGCGATGATGTGGTAATAGCTCCTTTTTGATTTTTAAGAAATTTTTCCCATATGTTTTAATGCCGCGAGCAAATTTCTTGGCATCATCAACACTCATAAAGTTGGCCACTTTAAGCATATGTTCGTCATTCTTATTCATTGCTTCAATTGCATAATTAACGTTGTAGTCGCATTTATGCAGCTGAAAAAAAAAAAAAAAGAAATCGTTAAAACGTAAAAAAAAAATCTTTTTTCACTGAAACAATGAAATGGTAACGAACAAATACAATAACATTTAAGAGTACGTATTGTTTCTGAATTTCCAATTTCATTAACTTACGTCATTACTAAGTAATAAAATTCCATACGGTAAAGTCAAAATTAATGGTTAAACATTTAATATACAGTAATGTAAAAGTATAGCATGATAGTACTGGATCATTAACAGAATTACTAACATTTAAATTAATGACCGGTAAATTTTAATAAAACCGGACCATGTTTCTACTATCTCTCCAGTTCTCAACTCTATTTAGACACAGTATTACTTGGTTTGTTACAATTCCTGAATCATAAAATAAAACACTAAAAAGATGAAAGTTCATTCTGTAAGCTACTAACCGTAATTATGGCATCATGCATACATAAGTCACCAGTCCTGAAATCACGTTCCATTTGAGTAATTTGCTCATTTCGAACCATAGCAAACATCCGAAATGATCGAGTCGCTCTTTTATAACTGAGAAAATTACTTTGGTTATATTCATATTGATTAATAAATGAATTCACTGAGAACAAAAGAATTACCTGACTGATTTCATAGTTCGCTAAATACAAACTCCACATGCTTGGACCATTCATACAAATAATTTCTACCACAATTTTTATCTCTACGAGAATGATTTGCTATTTTAGTGAATAAAGACAATAAAACGCTTACACATGTTCACTCTCTTCATTGATATAACCCGGCCTCCATTGCAATTCATCACGATCCGGTTCATCCACTGCAGAGCACCTCTCCATTGGGGGCAGTTTTGCCTGAAACTAATCTCAACAAATTTAAAAACACAAAGTGATTGGGAATAATCCTTTTATCAAGTAGCCGAATTATACAATCAAATACAAGAAGAGACTACTTCACAATTGCAATTCATAACTTTCTTCTTTAAAATGAATCAAGGAACAGAAATTAATAATAAATGATTAGAAACAAGCAGTTTAGAATACGAAGGATGAATAACACAGTTAGAAAAAGAACATGTAGAAAATACAGCTGAAATTTAATTGTTGAAGGAAAAAAATCAAAGAAAGAAATAACTGTTTCCACTGTAGTACACTAACAGCTGAGAAACAAATTCGGTAAAGTTCTCTCTTAATACTCCTAACGCAACTGAAAAGTTTTGAAAAAAAGCAACCAATTAATAATTTCAGAACTCCGAACCAAAATATGGAATGAAACTTGCGAGAAGCAACAATATCCTTCCTTTGTCGAAAAACCATTTATCTCTTCAGTTTCAAATACGCCACAGATTTTTCAATAAGTAATTTTTTTTGAGTGTCATAAAAAACTATCAAAAGCAGTGTTTGAGGATTACCCAACAAACGAAACTTTCATATATATATATATTCTAATATTACACTCTAACCGTAAAACATCGAAAGGTTGAATTCTGCACTCATACCTATTTCGCATTACGATAATACAAAGACGGAATATTCATAAGATAGTGGAAACAAAGAAATTGAACGAACCTGATATAACCCGCCGACGCGGATTTCACCTTGTACAGATGCCAGTCTGCTATTATTGGGATCAAACGAAACCAAAGAGAAAAAAATATCTGTCAAGGATTGTACGTCACACTCACGTAACGTCCGAATATCCTTAATCAAACGTATCGTACATTTACCCCTAAAATAAGTAAAATTCATTGTTATGAGAGAAAAAAGACATATGTATGGATGGAGAGCTGAAATGAACGGAAAAGAAACGAAGTTCTTAAGAACCAAACTAATAGTGGTACAAGAAAATAAAAAGATTCACAAACAAGCGGAAAACTGATAAGATATACGAGTTATTCCTAAGAGTAGGTGCAAATGTTATTACGACTGATCATTATCATATTGTTACAACACTATTCCAACAGAAATCGATCGCTGAAAATCACTCATCATCACTATTCGGTTAACAACTAATATTTACAGCACATCTTAACATAGCGATGAAGAGAAATGACCATTTCGACTGAAAAGAATAAAACGAAAGCAATAAAAACTCAAAATTGGTTGCACAAATCTAATGTACCAGATCGATTCTTGTCTCTGTAATCAACTACTCATGAAAGAAGTTCTAAACAATAACTCTGTAATGCTTTCAATTTAATGAAGCTCCGAAATATTATTGTTGATTTCAGATGTTCAAATTCAGTGTAAGGACTGATTCGAATCTCACACTGTCATAAAATCATCCAATAAAGTTCTGCATAAGCAAAGATCAACTTCGCTAATAATTTACGGTTTCCAGCAAGTTATTAGTTCTTAACATCTTTTAAAACACAATGTTATCGTAGATGAAATGTGCGCTGAAATCCGAAAGCATATTAAGCATGAAAACGAAAACTGCATGACCAAACATATCATATCTCGTAGTTGAGCATTCAGTGCTATTGGGAATTGAATTGTCTAATAAAGGAAAGTGATTAAAACATGCCGAAATGCTACCAAAAGTGCACTCATTGTTAAACTGGCACGTGAGAGAAGAGAACACACTTATTCCACTATTGAATCGATCGATTCTACTACTACTTAATTGCGCATCACAACATACACCGCGAATGTGTGTGGCTTCTTAGATAAGCATAAATCATTAATAAGCTCAATCTTTGCTCATTAAGCAATACTTATCTAACAACTCTATAACCTCTCATAAGTTTGGTACACTTCTGGAGGTTTTAAACTAGCCATTATGTCAAAACGAGCAGCTCCAACAATATCGGGAACATTGTAAAAAAAACTTGAGCAGAAGTGCTGGACAAAACAGATTTGCTACCAGAAGCACTGCGAGCATCAATGAAATCAGTTTTCATCTTATCTTAAATCATATCTTTACAAGCAAAAACAAAAAACACAAATGCCACGTCGAAGATCATCTGTCAGTGCGGATCATATAGAAATTATATGTCAACGTGAGGTATGGAAGAGATATCAGTCATCAATCATGAGCTATCTGATCTACAGTCAAGGAAAGGACACGAAATTAAACTGTGCAAATGCATTAGTTTTGAAGATTTCACAAGTTTCAGTTCTGATCTAACATTACAACTAATAATAAATGAATGGCAAAAAAATAAGACGACAGTAACCAACAAAAGATAAGTGGTATCTATTATGGAACAGATGCTTTCTTCATTCATCACTCAATAAAAATAGCATGGAAATATTAATGTCCTATATCCATGAAAATAAACATAAATCTAACCATCTTCTGACATAAAAATAAACAAAAACAAATGAACCTGCAATACATACAGAATTCGCATATGTAGATGGAGAGTGGGGAGAAAACATACTCAGTGCTTGATAATGAACGAAAAGATTCCACAGGGGGAGACTAGTTGTGCTCAAATCAACAAATTATCCATATGTAAAAGATTCCGAGTAAAGTGACACTTATGCAAGTATAAATTTCGATGATCTAAATTTCAAAGTTCATTTCCCACTTCGTTAATCAAGACACGGTTTGGAACTGAACTGAATCTATAAAATCTTCTTTTTCTCTACAACAAAAAGGTTAGATGACTTAAGCTACTACAAAGCTGTATCACTGTTAGTAACTATGATAACAATTATACTTGAAACAGCAGCATTCACTCTATAACTTCAGCTATATTAGATCACACTCAGCCTTTTTCCCATTTTCTTAAACAAAGCCTTATAAAATTCGGGTGATTAAGAATGTGTTGATGATAAAAATGTGCAGGAAAGTAGAAAAAAGATAAATGAATTTGTGAATAGTGAATAAAAAATGAAATAGTGACAGTAAAGGAATTCGCTTATTTGCAAACAAGTGTAAATATGATTAAATGTATTTAATGAGGAAAACTTGTCACAACAGTCAACATAAAAAAGAACAGAACCGCAGTAATAGATGTGACTAAACAAATTATTCTACAAGTTAAGAATTTAATGCAAATTCCCTTTTAATGGTTGTAGATTTCTTATCTGCAGACTATAAACACTGGATATATGTTATTATTTTACACCTGTGACAGGGCGATGACAATGGGTATACAATAGACGAATTCATAATGATGTTCACGCTGTGTTCTCATTTCATGACTTACTGAAGCGCTCATTTCTTAATTTTTTCATTTCATTTCTCATTTCTTCTTGAACCCCACAAAGCATGGGTATACAAAAAAATTCCCTAAAAAAGCTATAACACACTATCCGTTGCTATCACTTATGATACACTTTTTTTGGTCCCAAGTATTCCAGATTCATTTAATATTCGCCATGCGTCTCACTCCCTAACCTTTGACTAAATCGACAAGCAGCACTCCACACATATCGTTCGTTTTTCCATCAAAAATATTTTTGCTTGGATTAGATTCTTGCTTCTCTTAAGAAAATTATGAAAAGATTATGAACAATATTCCGTATGGTCATCCGTTACTCTTTCATATCATACAACAGGAAAAGGTCAATTCAAACTGAAAAGGTGCAGACGAAAATACAAATACTTTGTAATGAGCGCCATATAATGTGTATCTCACACTCCTCCCTCCCCGTAACAATCAAAAATATGAATTTGTGAAAGCATAAAAGTGTATTAAATTCACAAGGCATTACATACCACTTTCTGCGTTTTATCCTTATTCTACAGAATGGATAGATCTCTTGCACAGTTTTTTACTCCTTGTCACTTGGTGTTAATAGATGTCAAAATAATAACATGCAACAGTACTTTTAAATCCTATTCTAAATACAACACGTGTCACCGGAGCTGCATTGTTCATCACTGAACAATTTCAGCTTTTTTTTTACAGAGATAGGTATTGTAAATGCAATCTTTTGTTGAAAGAAAATAGATTCTGTGATGAAATGTTATGTAAAAAGAGATGAAAGTGGAAAACTTATTCTGTTGATTTTATAAATTTAACCAAAAAGATGTACGTCATTCCACAAATTTCATTGATTTTGCAGAAAAATGGCAACTTTTTGCCGAAATAGGAAAAATAAAAGTTAGCTGAAAGCAAACAAGACTGTTTTGTCGCAAAACTCTGTTAGAGAAGAGAGGAAGAAGAACCAATAACAATTCATTCTGGTCAACCTTAATTAAAGTAATCGAATTCACTGACAGAAGCAGAAGAACAGACGGACACAAAGATGTATGTCATGTCAATGCAATAAACAATATATATATATACATATATATATATATGAAAGAAACCATATCCAGAACAATTTTTCTTTACTTTTTTCAAAAGCATTCAGAATAGGAAAGAAGAAAAGACATTCAGACAGCCATCACAGAGGAAGGTGAGGGGGGATCGATCGAAAAAGCAAATGAAACGATAAAACCATGATCAATATAGTAAGCCCGTCCGCTTCGCCCCTTACCTCTCTCTTTTCCTTCGCTCTCTCTGTTCTCTTTCTATCAATAGTAATAACCATAAATTTTAATCATGTCCAGCACTATTTTTGCAACACTGAACCGCACCACTCCAATCTCTTACTTCTCCCTGACTGCGCTATTGTCATTTAATCCGTTCACCGATTCATGAAGCCAATATCTCGTCCTCTCAATTTCTTATCAACGCCGACAGTCCTATCTGCTCTGTGAGACAAAACCGCCTCCTGTCACTCCATCTACCACAGTAACCATCTATGAGAAGTAGCTGGACGAAGTTGTAACACTTGAATTACTGTTAATGACAAGTATTACTGTTACTGACATCACAGCATGCTCTGATTTCCTCTCCTTGATTTTAGAATGTACGTCACGAAGCGTCGCGCCAAAGGACAGATATCTAAATTGAACAATCATCCGGTAATCAATAAAGAGCTAGAATCACGAATGGATGACTAAAGAAGCAAGTAGAATTTAAGCTTTTCCGGATTATGCTTAGCGACAGACGGCATTGGATGATAAAATTAAAAATCACTGATTACGCCAGCATCTGATCGAACTGTAGTGATGTAATAATAATGAAGCATTAAAATGGACGGGTGGTCGGAGAAGGTACAGGTACATCAAAAGGAAGGGAGTAACTAATTCAGTAACATGTGAGGGATAACCTCATTTTCAAATAATGAAAACCAGTGGTTTGCCACAGAAGAATTTAGCGAAATGAGCAGACTACTAACTGCACAAGGTATATTAAAAATTGCCCTCTTTTATGAATATCTATTAACATTTTTTTTCCCAACTTCCTCCCTTCCTCTTCTTATTCCGATAAATGCCTAATTTCTATCAGATTGTAGAAACTCTCTCGTAGCAAAACATCAGTCGATCATTTCCCTAGTAAAAATCTATGATGCAGTAATTTGGTCCACTGAAATGAAAGAACCTAACTTCTCTTTCATCAAATCCAATGCAAAAAATTCTTTTCTTTTGCTTTTTCTTTCTGTCAGCTATCCCATGTGAAAACCATAATTAGCCAATATTAATTTTCTCCCACTCTTCCTTTTTATGTGAAATTAATATAACAACAAAACATATGCGAAACTTGGAAATTTACTTTGAATCAAATTGTTCTACAACTTTGGTAAGTATAAATGCAAATAATAGGTAGCATGAAATTCCTATTTCTATTCTCAGAAAATCCCTCGGAGAATTTTCTGTTCAATCCAATAAAATGCTACATAGTGATTACTGAAATAGGCTTAAATGAAGCGCATTACACAACTGTCTTTTACCATTCCGTAATACCCGACATTACCACCAACAAAATGAGAGCATTGCCAATTGTGTGATGTTCCATGTATGATATTTACTTTGCAGGATATCATTACATATAGTATTAGGATAAATAACCTCCTCAGTATGTGCTGTCCATCTGTATCAGTACTCCCAGGCTCTATGCAAATCCCTTTGACTCCTTTTCCACAATGTCTGATTCGTTATCCACCTCTTCTTTATCAAACAGTAGTTCTTTATGCATATAAACCAACCTATTCAGCTGAACTTTATAAGATTTAAAAAATGCATTTCCATTGCTAATATTATTTGCAATACCCACTTCTTTTTATCTTAACAGTGATGAAAAAAATAAATGCATTGCGTCTGCAAAGAAAACGAAAGGTAATAAAATTCGAGTCACTTTACTATCTTCCATCTCGCATAACTGAAGATTTTAAGGTCATTTACTTAACAAGACTTTGTAATATGAATATCGATAATAACCTTATGGGTTAATAGCATTTTTTTACTTAATTGCTTACTTCTACTATCACGACATGTATTGATCTTGAAATTTTAGCTCTTAATTATTGACTTATTCATGATATTCCATTAAACCCTTCAAATTTTTTTTTTTTTTTTTTAAAGAAAACGAGAGAAGGGAGAAATTAGAGATATAAAGAGAAGGAGGAAGAAATTTAGAGGCATAAATTAAGTCAAGAGAATTAGAGGAATGAACGAGAAAAAACCGGGTAGCTGAAACTGCTTCAAGAAACTGAAACAAACCTGAGATGACATATAGGATGGATAGATGAGATTTCGGAAGAGAATAATTCTCGGGTTTGCATAGCAGCCATCACAGTATGGTTGAGCGACGTGTCATCCTGTCGATCTTGAAGTAGCAGCGAGTAACTATCCTCGGGAACATCCTCTGGTCTATAGAATCGCGTCACTTTTACCGATAACTGGTCTCGTTTTGTCTGCAAAGACAAGTCGACTAATCACAATTTACACATATTGCTGCCAGCTATCAATCATGCGGAATCAGAAGACTCATAGACCCAGACTGTTTTTCGTCGGATCCATGAAATAGGGACAACCCCCTCTCAGAATGAGTCATATTTGGTTTAAATCTTATCAAACACCTCATACGACCTATTACTACTTCATTAAGGAACCAAAGAATACGCCAGCGCACAATTCAAAAACGATGCAAAAAGCATCGTTTTCTGAAATTTTCATCCTTTATTATAGTTTCCAACATAAGTTACTGTTCAAATTTTCATAAATTCATAAATTAATTATAAACTTTAACAAATCACTTAAATGCTGATAGCTAGAACTGTCCTTTGATACAATAACTATGCTCGAATCACCGAACCGCAACAGCCCGAGTACTTTTTTTTTTTTTTGCAAATGGGTAGAAATAAAATCTGTCATTTGACTGGCATCATTATCATCGTAATGCTACGCATAATTTTCTTTAACCTTTCATGAAATAACATAACTGTTACAAAGAAGGCATTTATATTGCAATGCCATGATGTAAGTGTTGAGTAACTCTAGTTCTGATTAATTATAAAAAAATAATAACATGATCTGCAATGATCACCCTCTGTTGACCATCTAATATTTTAGAAAATAATTTTGAAATGTCATAAAAATATCCCGTTTTGTACAGTTCAAAAGCTATTTTTTAGCTCGTCAAGATGCCATAAAAAGTAACTAAAAACACAAAGCTCTTTGTGGATGCAATAAAATTTAACAATTACTTCAAATTTCGGATTCTCAGGAGGACAATCCACTTAATACGAATATTAAAATTTTCCTTTCAATAATATACTTTTAATATCGACATCTGAACAAATGAAGGAAGCACCATTTTAAAATTTGAAATTGTCCCAATATAATATGGATCACACTGGGACACTTCGATGAAAACATGATCGCCCGGTCGATAAAGCACTCCGTCATGTGCTTCGAAACATTTGTATTCACTATCACTTCGTGCTTTGTAGGCTTTTCCACGTTTATTTTTCGTGGAATCCCCCTGAAAATACGTTTATTCCATCGAGACACAACCGGAATACCAGTAGTGACCTCCGCCAAATGATTTGTTTCGCTACAAACTTTGTAACAGCTAAACATATCAGATCAATTGGAACTGGCGTACTTCTAAGTCCTTTTATTTCTGTACGTAGTAAAAAAATGTATTGAAAAAGAAAGCGGGAATAAAATGTTAGAAATTATATAGATTAATGCATTGTTGGGAACACTGCTTCATCTTTTTTCAAAGTAACATAACCATCTAGAATTTTCTTTTTGTTTAACAAAGACCTTGCTATAGTGGAACAATGTCAGGACAAAAACGGATAAGTTAAAGAACAATTTTAATCCACAATAACAATGGCTTAAAAAAGTTTTTAGAAGCAAATTAAAATAGATTCCAAATCTGGAATGCATAAGAAGCTCGTACGCATTACAAAAAACTCATTCTCATATTCTTTGCGATGATTCTTCATTCAGTATATTTTAAAAAAAGTATCGAAACGAGAACTGATTACGTACTGCCTAAATTAGTACAGAAGACCGTACCTTTCTTGAAACGAAATCCAGAATACTCTCATTAGACTGAAAAGCATTGCCCTTTTTGTACCAAGTTATCAATCATCAGAGAAAACCAGTGAAGAGAAAGGTCAACAGTAATTAACAATTAATAGGTCATCTTAGATTTATGTCACAAATCCTCTTAATTAGCTCTCCTTAACAGCGGTATTCCTTTCAATTTTCTGACATAATAAACAAAAAAGTAGAGTTGTGGGATGAAATAATATTTCCATACATCGAATTCTGAATGTAACCTACTTCAGAATTTTGACGACGTAAAAAAACATGTAAATATATCACAAATTTATAAGTTCAATATTTTAAAGTACAAATCGTGTCTGCTTTTTAGGAGGTTTACTTCAGAGTCCTCTTGTTCAACGTCACCCACAGCAACGATATTTACACAACTAAAACTTGCAAACTCATCTTAAAAGCTACAATTTGTAAACTCACTCTAATCAGATGTTGCTTTTGTAACTGTCCAAAGAGAACATTCATCTAGCCAAAGCCATCCCACCCAGTGCCACCATCTTTCACCCACTCTCACTCATATGGAATATGATTTATTTTAACCTTATTATTCCCATAGAGACTATAATAGACCAGATCCACTTCCCATAATCCAAGGTCGCGGCACTCCTCTGGTGTTTTACCAGCCGTTTCATCCTCTTCCACCATTATCCTCTCTCTTGTCCTCTCCGTTTCCTTCTATTTTACAATAATTACAGATTTCTATTCCTGAAAAGGAAGATACATCAACTTTTCATCTGTTAACATTTTCTCTCCTTTGCACGCGTCAAATGAGAAATGTTGTAATTCGTGACACAATGAACAATAACGGAACTAACACAAAACTGAATTAAATTTTCTACATTTAAAATGCCATGAAATAAATAAATTAAATAATAATAATAAACAACTGGAATCATTCACAACGATAACAGCATCTCTCTATAACGGATGAAAGAGAGATGTTGAACAAAACTTACCTGTTACGAATAAAAGAAAGCACTGTCTTGAAATAACACAAAGAGAATAAGCCATGTAAAATTGCAAAAATTCTGTCCTCAACATTCTTTTTCCAATTACCTACCACTTTGGATAGAGGAAGCTTTCGTTTTCAGACAAATCACTGAATACACTGATAATTATACTAACGTGCGAAGGTTAGAAACAACTTAAACTGTATCAGTACAGTTTTTTTTTTTCATTGCCAAATATTATTTCGAAATTAAAAAGCAAGATAAACAAAAATTCAACTCAAGTGTCACCGAATATAACATTCAGTTTGTGTTACCGAATATAACATTCAGTTTTGATTCCTCTTTGGGCACGAAGCATAACTTTTATTGTAGAATAGTCTGTATGGATAACAGGAGAAAGAAAGTAAATGTCAGTAAGAAGTAAGGTATATGTTATTCGCAATCGAAAACATTTACGAGAAGGTAACCAGCATAACAGCAAAAATAGTTTCAAATTTTGCAGAACTGCGGAAAATTAGGACAACAAACATGGAACCTACATCATTTCTTAAATCACCTTGTCGAACCGATAGTAACATACTGTTCACTAAAATAAAGCGCTGTCTTCCCTTATGAAAATGATAATGGGTATCAGGAAGCCAAAGCAAGGTAAGATAATACCTTACACTGAAGCAAAGACATCAGTGAGACAATTTACATCAGAAAGTTAATACTGTGGCTAACAGAGACCAGTGATACCGATACCAAATAGCTTTTCTATGATGTGAGAAACAAACGCTGTGAAGATTGATGAGAGTCCATTCTTTTATACGTTAGTTTGACATTACGTTAATAGGCGGAACTTAAGGCTCAATCTTTAAGTGGGTATTGACGTGATAAACAGCACTTATTACCTATTTCTAACTATCAGTGATAAAACAACTTCCGTTTATTTGCAAAGTTCTTCATCAATAGTTACCAATTTGTCCTATAAAAACTTCTGTTTACTCTTCCCAGTGATAGATACACCTCGATCATATGTCTTCTCATATCATGACTCATGATACAAACCATAAGTAAGGGTAACTCTTGTAGTTCCTGGCTCTTCGTGCCACAAATAATTCGAATTATAAGAAATCAAGAAATAAAACATGATAATCACTGCCAATCAGTATAGCGGGAATATATGACTACTTCTAATAATTCACAAATAGATACTCTTCTAAGCAATTAAAAGCCTTTAAAAATGTTTCTTTAATAACAAAAAAACCATAATCTCAGAGGGAATTGTCAATAAACCTATAATTTGTCAAATTCATACTCGGATGAGCAACAAAAGACGAAACAGCACAACAAGCGATTAAAAATAGAGTGCCGAAGGGTCGAGCAGACACGAAAAGATCCATACGCATACTCGATAGACAGGCAAATGCGAAAAATGGGATCAGCGAAAGACAGGCAGGCAGACGGGCGGGCGATCGTTACCCGCACCGGCACCACCAGTAGCAACGCATACCTCATCACCGTACACACCGATTTCCCACACATCAACATATTTTTGTTGCATGTATGTAATCAAAAACTGAAATAAATCTCATCAAATTTCAAGTAAGTCATTGTCAACTGCAGTTAAGTATTGCTATTAAAGTTGTCTTTAAATTCATTACGTTTCATAGGAGTACAATCAATTACAATTAGGCAAAGTATTATAGGTAGCAGAAGCTGAAGAATTAGCGAAAATTCTGATCCCACGTTTGAACTATTATGATCATCTGTTACAGATGAATATTTCCAATCCCATCAAGAAAATGAAAAATTCAAGAATAGGCCCCTTAGAACTTTTCTGAATACACTCAGTTATCATTTTCTTAACTTTTACTGACATCTTCATTGACATCAACAATCACCTATAAGTACTCCATTATTCAATTAGTAGGGAAATGCATAAAGGATCTTTTTCATAACAATCAAAAATTCAGAGAAAATCCGGAAGCAAGCGGTGAAAGGAAAGCAGACAGAAAATTCTGTATTTAAGTGTTAGAGAATCACGACAATTATCTATTGTTCAATGTTTTTTGTTCGACATCACGGCAAGCGTCATATTTCCCTGGTGCATTTATTTAATAAACCATTTGAGAAAAATTGCTTTTAAAGTTATTAAAGACCAATGCAACATTCTATTCGTGACGCTATCTTATAGATTTGGAAAATGCATATTTGGTAAAGAGAAATATAAAACTCATATCGATCTCTCTTTGACAGTAGAACTATTAAAGCTCTGAATAAATGCAACAGAATACAGAATAAACATTGAATAAGCCACAAAGAACGGTAAATAAATGAATTTAAATCCATCGAATACGCATTATTTTGAGACTGGAAGGCATTACAGATAGGGAATTGATAATTGAGCGCAGTTATATAGAAATAATTAGAATTGATTAAGTTACTTAGGAAAAAAGGAGAAGAAAGAAAAGAACAAGATTTAATGTCAAATATAGCTTAACAAAAAAGAGTGCCCTTCACATGGTGCAGTTAGAGTAAAGAGTGTTTGCCGCAAATGCACCTAAATTGTGAAGGTATGCTTATTAAGTAAACAAATCGCATCATTTTATAAGTGAACCAATTTGCCTAGTTCATTTATTCGTTTATTTGATTACATTCTCTTTGCCGATTATCATCGAGCTATACAGCTGATTAGCCCATAACAGATGGACTCAACCGCTAATAATTGATAGTAGAAATTTTAGTCTGCTAAAACAACCTAAGCAAATAAAGAACAACTCATAAATTTAATATAAAACAAAAGATAATTCAACCTTGGAACTCATCCTCTCCAAGTTTGTAAAGTTATCAGCAGACGAGAAATAATATCAATTACGGTTTTATAAACGATAAAACAGTTCACTTTTCCTTAAAAAATCTTGCATTATTTGAAAAGATAAATACTATTCTTGCTATCACTTTCAATTACAATTGATTTCCTATACCTTTTAAATTAAAAAGAGGCAGGAATAACGCTCAGACCAGTTTCATATCTCTACTTCTTGGTTCCAAACAAACAAGTTAGAAATGACCTTAACAAACCTTGAAGACTCCAATTTTTTGTTCGTGGCATTTCAGAAATTTAGAAAATAATAGTACCAAGATATTTCGATATTTAGTACATGAGCTTTCACTTCCCCCACACTCCATTTTCAAGAGATTTACTATTACTTCAAAAGATTTCCGGTAACGACTTTACGACTGGACATTAGCATCATAAAAGTATCGCCCCATATTCTTAATACTACCTTTACCATCATCACAACCAACAACAACTGAGCATATTAAACAGATCACCTTCCCTCTGGATTCCAACAAATTTATGAAAGAAACGTTAAATTACAACGTGAAATTATGATGAATACTCAGCCAAAAGTGTATAACACATAGCAACTATTCATAAGACAAAAATTACCTTTCAAAAATTGACAAATAGAGCATTTAAAAAAGAGGGAGATAGCGAGAGATAGATAGAGGAAAAGGAAAGAGTATGTGCCAATAAGAGAGTGCCAATACCATTGTTAAAGTCGGTTAGGTCGTCGTCATCGTCGCCGTAAATCATACTAGCGCTCGGCCATTTATAACAAAAAAAAAAAAACATCTTTTGAGGAGCAATCATTTTCACTATTACACTTATGACAAGGTTATTCAGCCACAATGAGGAATTATCACAATAAAGAGAAGGCAAATAACATATTCTTTCTTTTCATCATTAACTGTTCTGGCAAACAAAGTATTATTATTATTATTATTTCATTATTCATTATTTTATTTATTATTATTATTAAACTACTCAACTGATTTCATTATCGCCTTAATTCAAGGATACTACATGGAAAAATGGAGACCATGAAGTAGAGGGACATATATGCTTCTTCATTTCTTATTTAACATTCGAGATTTATGAAACGAATTTAGAACGGGTCTTAAACTTCTTAGACTTCCAATCCAAAGCAACACATCAAAAATGTTTGTGGTGAAATACCGTTTAATTTCCATATCTTTAATTACAATATCAGATCAGCTAGCTACTCCTTCTTATGTATCAAATAATTCTTTTTCCTTCCACAAATGTCTTCTAACTGCAACAAGTCGATGTTTCATAAATCACAGAAAAAAAGTGACATATTAACTTGCTTGAATTTAATAACCTACTACTAATCGTCACCGAAAACTACATTTCAATCATAACCAAAAAAGTAAATGGTACCAGTTTAGATTTTATTCCTTATGTTTCCTTTAAAATAAGTAATTTGAGGAGTTTAAAAGAAACAGGAAAGCAGATCAATACAATTTTTACCAAAAGTCATCTACATTTGTTGCATGCGCAAAAGTATGGTAAAAGGGTAAACAATTACTGTCGTTATTCATTAAACTAAGCAACAAATAAAAGTCTTAGGAAACAGTAAAGCCTAAACAATAACTTAACTTAATAGAATGATTTGAAAGAGGACGAAAAGGACACGACTGCATCTCCCGGATAAAATAACAAAAAATTGCCTACTGATCAATGGAAATGTACAAAATTCAGGGAGTAGAAGCAATAGTAAATCACTGTATGAAAGGTGCTCACATTTTCGAGACGTCATCGAATTCTAACACCAACCAATATGACGACAAAATGCTGCGAAACAACATTTTGGAAGAAGAAAGCACCGTCTGAAACACTGA